TATTTAGTTGTATTACAATGACTCATTCATACAAACAGTAAATTACTAAATATAATAATAAAAAATGTCGAATTCATTTCGCTCAGAAGATTTTAAAGATGCATTAACACACTAACCATTCGTTGAATGTTATGATCCTTGTTTTTGAAAATTATGAAATTATAAACTATATTAAATTCGCCGAAAATACTTGTATATTTAAGGAAGACCCAATGCAGATTATAATTTTAAAAAACAAGGATCATAACATTCATCGAGTGGTTAGTGAGTTAATGTATCTTTAAAATTTTGTGAGCGAAGGGATTTTCGCTATTTTATATCATTAACTTTACTAATTTACTTTTTGTATGAATGAGTTATTGTATATATATATATATATATATATATATATATATATATATATATATATATATATATATATATATATAAATCAATTCTCCTCGAGCAAGGGGATAATGTCACTAAGATGCAAGGGGCTACTACTGGGAGTGAAAGAGAATTAAAAGATTTTAGGAAGCAACTGGAAACCCAATCCTAAACAGGAAACAAGGGATACACCTTTACTCTTGTTGTTCAAAAGCATATGTATATATAGTTATATATATATATATATATATATATATATATATATATATATATATATATATATGTGTGTGTGTGTGTGTGTGTGTGTGTGTGTGCATGAGTGTGTGTGTGTGCGCGCGTGTGTGTGTGTGTGTCGGTTTATAGTTGTGTGTTTGAGGAGCAGTTCTTCTTTAATAAATGTTTCGTTAAACGAGATTGTCAAGGTACTTTTGTTTAGTTTTTTTTATTATGTTTTATATATGCGTATAAGTGTTTCCTTTTCTGGACTTAGTAAATGTAAAAATTATTCAACATTTTGTTGATTCCTGAACACGTTCAGATTATATATATATATATATATATATATATATATATATATATATATAATATATTCATATGCATGTATGTTTTAAAATTTAGATATTTTTCAGATTTTGAGCTCGTCTTAATGAAATTTCGCATTAGCTTTTACAACTTTTAGGGGTCCCGGTAAGTCGATGTTAGGAATGTTTATTCTATTCATAAGAAAGAAAGGGTAAGTGGATGCTTCTACGTTGTTACTTTGCTTCGTGTTACATTTGATATCACTGAGGAGGAGGTTCAGTTTTTTCACATCACTGTCGGCGTGTCGAGATCATCTCCGGCGACCTGGCAGCTCTGAGGGAATACCAGTACCTTTGTTAAACGAATCGAGAAATTGCCGAAAGACATTAATCTATACAAACCGCCGGTTGTGAATACACACTTGAGAAAGAGAAAAGAGAGGAGGAGCTCAGAAAATATCTTCGAATGGGAAATTTGAGTTTCGTATCAACTTTTTAGGAAGCAGCTCAGTGAGACAAGCAATTATCTCTTATGCTCTTAGGGCATGCCGTGTAAAACTTTATTTGGAAGGCTACCTGTCTGTGGTCGGCTTGGTGTTTATGATTTTGTATGAGTGTTCTTTATTTAGCGTATACAAAAATATATATATATATATATATATATATATATATATATATATATATATATATATATATATATATAAAGAGAATGTGAGAAATTTATGTGATGTATACAACACACACACACACACACACACACACACACATATATATATATATATATATATATATATATATATATATATATATACGTATGTGTGCATATGTGTTTGGGTGGTTTTAAAAGTATAAAATAAAGCAAATGTCTGGCTTTTCATTTCCGAGTTAACCCAATTGCTAATCCTTGTTGCAGACATTTGCTCAGGCATATTTGTGTTAGTTCAAAGCCCACAATGACAATTTATGATTTAAACGGCATTTATAATGAGTGGTCCTTCAGCTACAGTGTCTAGGAGAGCACATAATCTGACATCATCAACAGTTTAGAACGAGGCCAGTACATCCAATCCCCAGGCTACGATGACTTATGAAAACTATCAACGGGTTCCGACCGGTTCCGTCTACTCAAATTCATCCACAATGATTGGATCAACCCTGAGGTTGTCTCTTCAGGTGCAAGCTAAATCCTTGACAAATCGACCATGGTCAGATTCGAACACTGTGTACGAATAACCGTTTCCGAGTATGGTTGCCTGCTCAGCCATATTTGTGTTTGTTCAACACCCACAGAGCAACTATGTTGACCGAACCTTAGTTACCATTTCTGGAAGAGCGCGCAAAATCTTGCGTCATTAGGTATTTGAACAACACCAGTACGTTAAAAGCCTCAGTCACGATGTCTTGCGAGCACAACTGTCGATACCTTCCGAACAGTTTTTTCTGAACATTGTCGTGGACGTTAGTTTTGGAGCGTCATCGCCGGGTAGGGAGTGTGTTGCTATTTTAAGTTTGAAGAATAAAGCAGCCATGGCAACTTGGGAGTTCCATCTAGATACTTGGGAACACCTACAGTCCGAAACAGATAGGGTAACCCGACCGAAAGGTATCTGTAACTGGACCCCACATGCAAGTTTATGCGCTCTCGCTATATCGGGAACATTTCGTACTGATATAAATCCCTAGTATATCCTTATCAGACCGGGTGTCATGGCTGGTATATTGGGCTTCGTATATTTGTACCCCAAAGTCACTTTGTCATTTTTTTCACTGAATAATAATAAGCAAGTTAGGTTATAAAGAATACAAAAAAAAGAAGCGTACAAAGATGAATCCACTGTGAACGAGACAAGCGACTATGGTTCGAACATACAAAAACAATAATATATCTATAATTGGCAATTCCTGGTAAATAATGAAAATTACATGATATTCTAGAGTTTGAAAATTCAAGCAGATCATCGAATCTAGGCTCTGAAAAGCTATCAAGATGTCGCCATGTCGCAGAATGATGTTTGCAGAAGACTACAGAAGGAAATTTAAAAAAAGAAGAAAAACTGGATAAGTATCTGGATCTCGTCAGAACAGAAAACAAAAACTGTGGAACATGAAGACGACAGTAGTACCAATAATTGATGGAGCCTCGCAAGTGATTAAGAAAATGTTAGCGAAAAGGCTGGGGAATTGAAAAACCGAGGAAGATTTGAAACTATTCTTGCAGGGGTGCTACAGAAAACAGATTTTTGATTAAATTGTCGGGGTATTGAGGAGACTTGATGTCACTCGTGTTAGTTATGTTCAGTTAAATGAAAACTCAGTCGGTACAATTAATAATGAAGATAATCCCTTAGGAAGTGTGTAAACGATAGGAAATGTACCAAAAGAACCAACAGGTCAGAAAGAGTCACAGAGAAAAATCTATGAGACTATGGGAACAAAACAAACCATACAATCTTGACCAGAGGACGAGATGTTGCCGTTCTAAGCAAGGCCAATAAAAACTGTCAAGTGAGGAGGAAGATGTTCCAGCACAACAGATCTCAAAGTAAAAGTGAAAGTCAAAAAAAAAAGTCAAAAATGTGAAAGAACTGAAAATAGTTGTACAAAATGAAGTTGACAGTTGCAGCTATTATTAGGAGGATTTTTGTCATTTTATCTCCAATGAAATCTATGAGTTACTCCTGTGTTGAAAAATTCACGAGTATAAATAATAATAATAATAATAATAATAATCGCAGACCAAAATCTTAACGGAAGTATAGAAAACGGTATTTAGAGTTTTTGAAAGATTACGCAACAGAAGTATTTAAACGTACGGTACAATGATTTATTCGAATTTCTTGGAAAACTAGATCTATTTGGAAAAATTGTTAGAATAATCCAGAACTTACATCCGAAGCAAACCGTCCGCAGGCAGATAGAAAATGAATTGAGTAACTATACAAAAATAAAAAAAAAAAGATGTGAGACAAGGGTGTATCTTCTCCCCAGATTTATTCAACCTCTACAGCGACGCTATCCTAAAGGGAATTGGAGACTCTACCAGGATTTATTGTTGGTGGGCGTAATCTTAACATTAAAACATGCGCAGATGACACTGTTTTCATGGCCGACTCGGAGTGGAGACAACAGGACCTACTAGACGAGATGGTAGAAGAAAGCGAGGCAAAAAGGACTGACCATCAGCTGCAAAGAGATAGAAAGTATGTTCATTGGCAAAAGAAAAAAAACAAAAACAAACTAAGATACGAATTGGAGATATGAACATCAAGCAAGTGCAGAAGTTCAAATATCTTGGGTGCATTTTAACAGGGGATAGAAAATATGACACTGAGATCTGAATAAGCATTGGGCTAGCCATAGAAGCATTCTAAAAGATTAGGCAAGGTGCCTATATATATATTCATTACAATTGGAAATATTTTATATACGGATTAACCTCTTGAAACGTGGACATATTACCACGAAACTGCAGAGTCGGGGACAATTACAGTTAAGTAATTCTTTTGTATATATTAAAAAATATATATATATATATATATATATATATATATATATATATATATATATATATATATAATTAATAAACGATAAAATCCAAAATTACCCCGTATGAGGAATAGGCTATTTCGGCAGACGAAGATATCAATCGTCTGTCATATCAACCCCGTGTGGACCGAGTTCGAGGCTATACAGAGAGGGGTGAGCTGGAAGTAGAATTTAACTGTGAAAGCTAAAAAAAATCAACCCGTGGAAAAACTAGTATAGAATTTATTGAAATGTATAAATTTTGAATTAGTTTTTTGACAGGTTGATAAGAAATAGGCTTTTCCCCATATTAGGTAATTTTGAATTTTATTGTTTATTAATTATATTGCTCTATATTAATAAATACATTGAGCTCTTTTTGTGGATTAGTTTTAATATTTTAATATTAATATTATTTAATATTTTATATTACTAAGATCCACTTGAACAGATTTGCTACTTTTGCTCTGTCTCTTTATATATATATATATATATATATATATGAGAGAGAGAGAAAGAGAGAGAGAAAGAGAGAGAGAGAGAGAAAGAGAGAGAGAGAAAGAGAGAGAGAATGAAAGATCGAGACCGATGTATACTTGTCAGGTATTACAGTCAAATCTCGCTGAAGTCACCGGTACCCGTTCGCTCCTCGAAATCAAGCAGAGTCTGGTTGCGCCGAGCCTGTCTGGTTAGTACTAAAATGGAATACCCGGTACTCTAATCAATGGTAAAGTTTATATCTTCCCGATATAATTCGTCCGTGTCTTTCCGTTAGACTATCTGAAACGTATGCCGCGTAGGCAGTTTACAATTATCTTGACTGGTTTCTTGTCGTTGGATGAAGCCTGTCTGATGCTGAGAGCCCACATAGTGTTGCACAAGCTATGAATGACTATGAACAATCGCGTTGGTATAATGTGATTTGGTGGTTGTGGTTAACATTCTTATCCGCCGCGGCCTGTATGATGGCTGTCCTCGCTCAACGAAGTGACAGCCACCATACTTCTCGGGTAATAGACATCGCCATTTCATTAGAGTGAAAGTGAAACGCTGGATGAATATCTAGGTCTTTGCAGAAAAAAGAAAATAGTCGATGGTGAAAGAAACGTATCTAATCGAAATTGTTATTGTTAGAAGCGAGCTCGAAGAGATTTGCAAAATGATTGGAAAAAATTGAAATTCTAGAAAGAATTGAAACTAATTAGACAAAAGCATTAATAAATCGACTTGAAAATTGCTGAGAGAGTTGAAGAATCTTGCAGTTATTCATCGTAAGCGAGAGACAACTAATACTGCTGGTATGAAAATTCATCAAACCATATATATATATAATAATTATCAATGTGTATTTATTTTCTGTACCATCTATACTGGGAAAGGAAGTAAATCAACTTAAATTAATAAATTTATGAGTGGTTGTTTCCCCAAGTTGTTTTAATAATCAATACAAATAAAATATTTATTTACATTTAGACAAAATTAGTTCCCGAACAAAATTAATTAGTTCCTTTACTATTACGTTTTTAGATTGCAGTCTTATTTGTTCAAGCCTTTCATGTGAGGCACTCAGATACCTTTGTTGATTAAGTGATCATCTTGCTTCAATTTGCTCTTAAAATGGTAAAGTTTATATCTTCCCGATATTGTCGTCGCCATCTTTGTCGTTCTGTTGCTAATCTTTTTCTTCTGATGGATATTTCCATTTCACTGTTATATTAAACACATAAAATTTTTAACATGAAAATATATTGAGGAAGATGCGATTTCTATAATACCAGAAACAATCAATGAATCATAGATACCATTGAATGTCTTAAAATATAAAGGGAATGGATTAATTAAAGGGTTCATTGGCCTCTATTTTAGTTGTGAATTCTTTATTGCCGCTTTATTGAATCTGAACACATTATTTGAAGATTTGTTTCATTGCATCTCACTATTAAAACTTTCTAACAATTGTCGTCATTTTCTTTTCGTCACGGGTTGACTAGAATAATAATAAATAGTCTGAAAAAGAAAGAGAAGATTAATAAATAGAAAGATCTCACCCAAGAAAATTGTGGCATATGAAAGCAAAGGTCATTTCGATAATCATTATAGCTGTGAAACCATTTCTATAGATCATTTGAAAGTGACTTGAAGACTCGGAAATCCGATGTAAAATGGTGACAATCTACAGCTGTTAAAGTTGGCAAGAATAATACCACGAATGTCCGAATTTTGATTAGAATTGCTGTCACTTGATCTGCCATAGTAAAGATACAAGTGATAATTAGAAGGAGAAAAAAACGGAAGAAAAAGCGAATATGAAAATAGGAAAAATGTGATGGAAAATAAGACGAAAGTAATGACTAGACATATAGGTACCTCGGGCATGTCCACGGTAAATTAAGATTTACACCCACATAAAAAATCTACTTTTTGTGTCTACTGCGATATGGAGTGTGAGATTCGTCTCCAATTAGACGAAGTGCCACCCAAATACCCGACCCACGGGGGCTTAAAATAGAAGTAATAAAACGATTTTTGAAAACAAACCAAGCATAGCTTAAAACAACAATAATCAGTCGGGATGAATACGAACATTTGAAGGGGGAAAAAAAGAAGAGAAAACTAACATTTTTATTTCTATATCCCGTTTCCTATAATTTTATAGGAAAGAAAACATATTTCTCGAGAATAGATAACATCGTCCAAACTTTAAATATTCATGCAACTATTCAAAGGCTAATTAGAAATCCTTTGTAAAAAAATTTAACACAAGAATACCTTAAAACTCAACTTTAAATAAGAGAGAAAATAGTGATTATTTTAAAATTGAAAAATACATTCGATTATTTCCACACTTAAGAATATACAATGATCACGCATACGCTTTCAAATACAATAGAAAAAGCCTCAAAGCTATTGAGTCTTTTTGTAATACAGTAATTAAATTGGGACAATTCTACCTTGATGGTTTTATGTACGACTATCAGATGGGGCATAAGTAAAACAATACTTTCATCATGTATTTTCCGACTACACTTGCATAGGAGCCCACACACGCTTGCATGCGCGTGCGCACACACACACAAACGAGTACGGACGTTCGCATTCACAGTTTATAGGAGGTATTTCGAGCGCAGGTCCATATTCATGTGAAATGTCCGATTAGAATTAACTAGCGATTGCCTTTCCATAAAATTCCGATTACAAGACTAAGCGTCATCATTTTCCGCAACTGTTTAATGAAAGCATCTAATTTTTCGGGAAAACAGCGAGGAACACGATTTATTTAGTCTAACGGGAGTTTGAGAATGAATGGGCGACCGAGAAAGTAAACAGACGCACACGTGTCATGTCCGGTAAAAACCGATATTCGTCAGGTTAAACTCACAAAACTTCCTTTTTTGTTGTCGTTATGTAAAGATATTTTAAATCAAAAATTTAACATTTTAGAGATGGACCGCACGAAATCTCTCTCTCTCTCCCGCTCTCTCTCTCTCCCGCTCTTAATCTCTCCCGCTCTCTCTCTCTCTCTCTCTCTCTCACACACACACACACACATATACAAATGAGAGAAAAATCCACTGTTCGTATTATTTACTTTTAAAAATATGCTGAATACAAAGTAGAGCAAAGTATTATTATTATATTTTCTTACCAACGCTTGAAGAAATAGAATCATAGCATTGAAACATGAAAGCTTTTGTGTAGCGATATATATATATATATATATATATATATATATATAGAGAGAGAGAGAGAGAGAGAAAAGAGAGATACACTTTGTAAAAATCTAAATTTTGATCAAAAGTAATATTTGCCAAAAGAACGGCTTAAATTAATAAAAAATGTGCTACCGTGATTTCTACCAATCAGATATAATCAGATATTCAAATTTGACTGCTATATAATAACTGATTGGTAGACATCACGGAAACAGGAAGGTTGATGTTCCACTTCTTATATATATAAGTGAATATAGAAGTCAACACTTAGAGGCGACAGTCTGTTTCATGCCAGATGCAATCGTCAGGCCTGACGATTGCATCTAGCATGAAACAGACTGTCGCCTCTAAGTGTTAACTTCTATGTTCATTTTTTTTTATTACATACGCTCTATCTCCGAGATTGAGATCCCATAAATATAGCACATCTTAAGACTATATTTCTTTGTATATATATATATATATATATATGTGTGTGTGTGTGTTTCTAAACACAACGTCTGTTTGAACGGCTAAACAATCCCTGTACATTTTAATACCCACAGAGACCAACTGTTGTTTATAACGAGACTTTGCTGAGCAGTCCTTACAGTTTCTAGGAGAAAGCGCATATTCAGGCGTACTCACCAGCTTGAAGTACGCTGAAATTCACGGTCACGATGACTTGCGAATTCGTGCTACCACAAACCATCGACTGATTCCGAGCAGTTCCGTCTACCCAATTTTACTTACAAGGTTTGAGTCAAATCGACATTTGGATTTTCGGTACTCCAATATGCGGCACCCTGGGATCGCCTCCCCAAACCGATTAACACCAAGACAAGAAGCCACCTCCTTGACAAATTGACAACATTGAAATTCTAGTCTCTCGGTAATACGATATATATATTTATAAAAGTCCTTCAGGACTTCATCGGACTAAAGTTTCACACACACACACACACACACACATACGTATATATATATATATATATATATATATATATATATATATATATATATATATATATTGATATGTTTCGGAAAGGGATATATTTGCTCGAAGTAGCAATGTGCTTGTTGACTACAGTAACCGGGTAGGACAATCTAGCAGGTAACCATAATGGACTGGTCCTCGTCGTAGGGGTAGGCAATAGGCGAGGACAATAGGCGAAGACAATAGGCATCCTCCTGTACCTCCATATCAGTCTGTATTTATGGCTGACACTAGCCAATCATATTACTGTGAGGGGGAACCCAGGTGTATCCATATTCATTTACATCATATATATATATATATATATATATATATATATATATATATATATATATATATATATAAGGTGTATATTTGTCAGCATGTATTCGTAAAAATAAGTTTGATTACATATAACTGACAAGATCTGTCTCTTTAATCTTTGTATTTTTCTAATTTTCGAAGTCAGAAGATATGCAAAACCAGAAAATAATGCACAATTAATTGATCAACATCTATAATGGAACAAATAACAAACATATATGATGTCGCTGAAGCATTTACATCTTAATATTGTGAACCTCCTCAATAACAGCCAACAATCTATTATCCATTGATTTTGTTAAATTGTTTACTTCACCAGGTTCAGTTTCCGATATGGTGGTCTTAATAATTTCCCCTATGCCTACTTGTTATTCACAATTAACAAAGGTTTTCGGCCGGATTCAAATCAGAACTTGATTGTGGTCATTTCATTATCTTCTCTCCTGTAAACCTTCCACGCTAAAAAAAAAAAAAAATCACGGGTAACCTTAGATACATGAGAAGGGGCATTGTTGTGCATAAATACACACGTCACTTTGAAACTGCGAGGCTGGGACTTGTACCATTCAAAGAAAGTGTCTTGTCCGTGAAATCGGACTGTTCTGTTTAATTCCTCCTTCGAATTTGAATGGTCCACTAATGGTTTGGTCGACAATTCCAGCCCATATCAACACATAGATTCCAATTTGCGAAGTATTCTACACCTTTTGTCCGTCTTGATTCCCTTAACCCCAGCCTGTTCAAAGATCTGAGCACGAGTCAAAAGTGGTTGTTTTAACACTTAAATTTATGTTCCCCTTGAGGAAACACGTTCCTAAAGCCCTTTCTTTGCATCGAGTTCTTAGCTGTTATATTTTCAACAACCCTTTCTATAGTTCGATAATACTTGGGAATATCCTTTGATATCTCCAATATGGACATCACCTCACTCAATAATTTTGTTATTTTCTGTTTTTCAGGATTTGTTAGATCCTTTTCATTACCCATATTTGAACATAAGAAAATATGAAAAAAATAGTTTTTATTAATTTTCACTGGCCTTAAAATAACATTAATCTGCATAATAACTCCAGATTGCAGTTTTTATAATAAATTCAATAACTTCAATACAGCTTATAGAAACTGCCTAAACACTTAACTCAACCTCTGTTTTTATGTGTAAATTAAAGCGTTTAAAATTTGACAAAGATTTCCAAAGCAAATTCGAGATATTGAGGTTTAGATAATTTGCATAAAAACTTCAGATAAAAAAAAAACATATTGATTTGTGTTTGATATGTTTCTTATTTGTTGTGGTAGAAATGTAGTATTATTTCTTTTAAGTTGTCAGCGGTAGTGGACGATTTCAGGATATCGTTGATATTTTTATTTCAGCGTGGAGAAGCCGGATTTTGTCGTTGGCTCGTGTAATTTCTCTTTTCATAAGAGAACTTCGAAATATTTTCGTGTGAGTATCCTTGTCCGCTGCAGGCTAGAGTATTTAAATAAGGCATATTTAAGCAAATATATTAAACACACATTGTCAGTTGTATTTAATCAAACATGTTTACACACACACACACACACACACACACACACACACACACATACATATATATATATAAACCTTGTGAGCCAGAACTTACCTACCAAGGTTTCACCTAACGAAGGAAACTCTTGGTAGGTGGGTTCTGGCTCATTAGGTTTTTTAGAATTTGCTCTACTTAATGTATTGAGCACTTTTACGTTTCTTATTAATTTACTCTGTCGGTGTTTTTATTTTGACTAAGCATTCCGGTGCTGATTGATTATTTTCGACCAACATGGATGTCTTTAGTCTTTTCTTTTTTTACTTAATTTTTTCCATGACATCGGTTTTTTCAAATATATTTTATTTACAAATGTTATCCGGGTTTTTCACACCGCCAGAGTATTAATATATATATATATATATATATATATATATATATATATATATATATATATATATATATATGTAAGATGAGAACAAATAGTATGCAATTCCAACGTTCTATTGGTGAAGGACAAGGTATTCTTAGTACTACCAATATAGAATTTTTCAACCGTCGTATTCTCTACTGTAGAAATAGTACAAAGATAAACAAGAGATTTAGTTATACTTTTGTTTGGCAATGGGCCCTGGTCAGAATTCCTACAATTACACTGGCCAGTATCATTAATAATATTTATCTTTATTATTTGAATACATAAACAGTCGACTAGTATAATTCTGGGAGTAACGCTTTTGAAGCAAGCACTCTATGTAATTCAAACGCTCAATGTCAAACGATAGACCATTAACAGCAACAAATAAAATTAATAACAAATGATTTGCCCCTACTTTTAATTTTGCAGATATAGTATCCACTCCTGAGAAATGATTGACAGTAAAATTCAGTTTATTTGCAGAATTCACATTTCTGTAAATAAATTCAATGGAGAAAAACATAAATTCTATAAATAAATTCAATTTCCTATCAAGCGCACTGACCAGAGGATACCATATCCGTAAACTTAAATAGGAACAGATAGCTATTTACATCGTTTCGGACGCTGTACGATCCAACCTTCTTCAGGTGACTTATGTTGGAATTTCGAACGGAACACCGTGGACTAAATAAAGTGTTCGATTCTTAATTCCGACGAATATCACCTGGAGAAAATCGGAGCGTACAACGGCCGAAACGTCGTGAATATGGCAATAACGAGAGAGGGTAAGAGTCTGAACGATGTAAATAGTCACAACACCTCATCTCAGAAATATAGTCAGATAGGGACAGATAAGTTGAACAATTGTTCATTTGTTGATATATATATATATATATATATATATATATATATATATATATATATATATATATATATCGTTAGGTGGAATAAGTCACAGAGGAAGAATTTGGTAAATGCATATTTTACTTGGAATTTTGGGTTACGGCATTTTGTACATGTACCTGTCTTTTATTTTGAACTACTTACGGTGAAGAATAATAGGAGATAGGAGATCGGAGATAAGCAAAACAGGAAAAATAATGTGTATTTGTAAACTTCTTCTTTATGTGCCGTGTCTCATCATGACGTAGGCGATCATGGCTCTCCACAAATTCCTGTCCCTTGTAGCTCTTAATACACTTTGTCTTTCTGTTACGTCTACAAAACCCTGTTCCGCAATCTATTTACTTAAGCTAATTAATTATGTCATGCGCTGTTTCCTCTGTTTCTCTTGCCTTCAATCTGTCCTTTTTGAAGTCCCCCCACCTTCCTCATCCCATAGCTTATATGGGGAAGATAACCGCTAAACCTCACCACTTGAATAGGTTAAAATTTTAGTGACCGGGGAAGCATCCTCCTGGGAGTCGGCTCCAAAAAAATAGCGGTTATATATATATATATATATATATATATATATATATATATATATATATATACCGAATGGGTAAATATAGATATGTATTATTTCTATTTTATTTTATCCCGACATATTTTATTATTATTGATATCAATAGTTTTATCTAGTTTAGTAATATTAATATTTAATTTTAGTAATATTAATTACTCTTTTGATTTTTGAAAAAACAGAGTTATCCCCCTTGATATTTTAACGTCCCTTCTTGTTTACTTACTTTTTTTTAACATGTGCGTCTTTCTAAATTAGTTTTATATCTTTTATTTCCAAACTTATTTTCAATTTTAAATGTTAATATTCCACCCCAACAATAAAGTACCCTGCCGAGAACCAGAAATTTAAAAAAAAAAAAATCGGTGTTAACCCAAAATAAAAATAAAAATAATAATTTTAGCACTTGACAATTGCTTTAGCCTGAAACTCAGAGTTGTTCAATTAATGTAAAGTATTATGTATATTTCTTAATATATATATATATATTAAGAAATATACATAATATAATGATATATATATGATGTAATTTATAAGGATGATATGATGTAATTTATAAGGAAATAGAATTTCTCGTAATGTGAATATATATATATATATATATATATATATATATGTGTGTGTGTGTGTGTGTGTGTGTGTGTGTGTGTGCGTGCGTGCGCGTTTTCATAATCAATTCATCTCAAGCAAGGCGATAAAGGCTCTAAGACGCAAGGGATTACTGGGTGCGAAAGAGAATGAGAAGAATTTGGAAGTAACCGCAAACCCAATCCTAAGCCATAAACAAGGGATAAACCTCTACTCTTGTTCCAGAGACTAGAGAGGTGTGTGAACTGGATGATAGGTGAACCTATCTACTCCTATTAAATATATTTCAGTACACAACTTCAGGTGTGTGTAAGTGTGTCTGTGTCTGTGCGTATATGTCTGTGTGTGTGAGAGAGAAAGAGAGAGAGAGAAAGTTAGAGAGAGAAATATGTGCATCCGTACGTTTCCTTTTGTTTTTGTGTGCGTCAGTGTGTGTGTATATGACTGTATTATCTGTATACATACATTTTAAAGAATCTGTGCATTTGTATCTGTGTGTGCGTTTGTGTGTGTGCTTGTGTATCTGTGTGTGTGCGTGTATGTTTGTGCGTGTGTACATGATTGTGTGTGTGTATATATACGGACTCATATTGTCGGCAGATTTCGGGGCATCCATCATTATAGTCGTCTGATCAGTCAGTACAGCGGTGTGCAAAGTTCGTGGAGGTATAGCGTCTATGTTATTTATTGCTATAATAATAAACATGGCGGGTGATGTTATTTTAGCTTTTGTTAAAGAAACCATGTGTCAGCAAATTGAACATTATAGCTGGGGAGCAGAGCAGGGGGAGCGGGGCTCAATGTAAACAACTTGAGTCATAGTTGAGCACACCACCACACTCTAAGCCCCCGCCTCACTCCACTGGGCACTCACCCTAAACCCATCTATCTATCTATCTATCTATCTATCTATCTATCTATCTATCTATCTATCTATTCTGGTTGTTCTTTTCTATCAAATTTAGAAGCACATACATATTTTTTCCTTTGCCAAACATAAATTCACAATATAGAATATACATACACATTGTTACTCTTAGGGATATGAACACGCATCTATGTAAAATAATTCATATACATATATCAATATATACAGCCCACACGTCTCCATCAACAGAATTTCCCTTAAACATGATTCGCCAATGATGTACACTTATAGGAGTATCCACATGCGAAACACATGAATAATAGTTAAAAGATCACTAAAATGCATATAAATGAACGAAGATGAAATCAATGAAAGAAAAAAAGAAAAAAAAATGTGTATTAACAACAGCCTAAAGAAAAAAAAAAAAATATATATATATATATATATATATATATATATATATATTGAAATGAGTAATTTAAAATTATCTATATTTGTAGGGGAATGGTGTTCACGTGATAGCGTGTTTATAGATATAGACAGTGAGGAGAAAGGAATAAACATTCTATAAAGGCATTTTCACGCCTCTACATAATATTCAGACAATATATATGACATACCTAATTATAAATTGTATAATATGAAATGCATATGAGACTACGGCCATAAATAATTGCATTTATAAGATTTTAATATCTATATAATATACAATTATATATATCATCCAAACTGGATAAATGACAAGATTAAGGAATCCAATCAGTCAGTCAGTGAGTTCCTTCTTCATATATATATATATATATATATTCTCACGAAAATACTAAAAATACTATAAATTATATAAATAATATATATAATTATATATATATATATATATATATTTCCCTCTAATTATATATATATATATATATATATATATATATATATATATATATATATATATATATATATATATATATATACAAATTATATATAAAATATTTACTTATACAAATAGGTTATATATAAATGATATATATATTTCCCTTCTTATATATATATATATATATATATATATAATACATTACTTTAGAAATTGCTTTACGCTTGGATACAAAACTGAGCAGACATGAAATTTAGAGAAACTATGACGAGAAGGATTTCTTTCAAATTCTTGCTTGATTTTCAAATGTCTTTAGTGCCTGAGTCGGTATAAACATGTTGAATCGAAAGAAGGTTTCTCCTGCCAAGTGAGACACAGGTTCGAATCCTGTCCGAGGGCACATATTTTTCATTAATAATATTTATCGACTATTCAGGCCTGTAGACGAAAATAAATAAATAAATATACCGTTTAACAAATAATTTCTAATCTGACACAGGAAATGAAAAGGTAGCCTATGTTTTGTGGTGCCAGTCGCCCACCACAACGACTGGGAAATAGCTAGCTTATTGAAAATGGCCAGATTACCAGAAGTAATGACATCTGGTTCTGCGCAGACCTCACGAACGTATTCAGGATGACGTACTCACCGACGTCATCTTAAATACTTTCTAAATTCTAGGGTCTGTGAACAAACAAGAGGCATGTCATGCTACCTCATTTCTGTCTAGATGTAGGTGATGGATATGGTAGTCATTCCTAGTGGCCGTACGTGTTCCTGCAGGATTCTACTCCTTCGCATACAAGGTGGCTATTCATGAATTCCTTGAACTATTTCGTTTGGGGAGTTTTAAAGTGGGAGGGCAACCAGCGAACCTATGTGCAGAAGTCGTTGGAGGCCATTATCGTAGCGGTGATGGCCAACAGGAATGAGAACTGCTTGATCCTTGCATGTAGTCGCCTCCATATTAAGGCCGTACTTGAGGTTGAGGGAGCTTTTTAAATAACCTTTTTGTTTTTCTAAGTTGAACATATTTACAAATATTTTTGAAAATTGCTGATTTTTCGTAATGGATATTTTTGCTTTAATTTACATTGTTAATGTTTTATTTTATATTATAATTGTTCTTAATTATCTGGTGCACCAGTTAAGACAAATGCATTCACATGCGCCTGTGCACGCGCACATATATTTACAACTTGGAATTTGATTATGAAAAAAAAAGCATTCAAAAATTAAGTAACTGTACATTATTCCCGAATATTTCCTTTGGTGTAGTTACCAGTGGGATGTTCAACAGCGATTTCAGCCGTTTTCCAAGATACTTTGTAAAGTCCGTGCTACATTCAGTTTACGTAAATAATTCAAAATAATCTAAAATGTTGGTTAACACATCTATCTATCTATCTATCTATCTATCTATCTAAGTTTCAAATAGCCGAACCGGTACAATAATTACTTTTTTAAAATCCAGCTTGGTTATCATTATTCCAACCACTCCTCTTATTAGATATTTAGGAATATCTCTCCTACCCTTTAATTCTCAGAATAATCGTTTATTCCTAAAAATTATAAAAAAATAAATATTAAAAAATCCAAGCTCCACTTTTCCCCAAGGAATCTGTATATTTGAAACTCTAGTCTGCCTGCCTGACTGACTGACTGAATATCTATCTATCTATCTATCTATCTATCTATCTATCTATCTATCTATCTATTAGATACAAAAAATTAATATTTTTGTTACTTATTTTAACTGTTTTCTCATGAGTATACAATTTGTAGTTTTCGGAAAATGTTAAGAAATAAAAGGACACTAGAAACTTTTGCACGCAATTCATACATTAGGTTCGCGTATACTGTTGAAATTTCCCGACAGTTGAGACATCGCCTCGTCACTTATCTATCTATCTATCTATCTATCTATCTATCTATCTATCTATCTATCTATTTAAGCAGCAAATGTAAACTCTTTCCCAGCTATAGCATGATGGAACTCGCTTTAAAAGAAGGGCTTTTGAATACCAAATTGTGGCAAAAGAAACGAGAAATCCCAATTATCTTTCCAAAGTATGCATGTCAATTCATAAAGAAAAAGTAATTTGTGGAGAGCCATAATCGCTTACGCCCTGAAGATACTTGAAATATTCTTTTTGAAAACGCATGTAAATGTTAGTAACAAATTTACAAAGCTTAACATTGTTCTTTTTTTAATTGTATGTAGGAAATATTCTTTTATTTTTCAAATGCGTTGATAGTTTGAAAAACTTTCTGAAAAAACGACCCATTTTAGAGATATTTTGTATCTTCTTCGAATGTGTGTAATCACTTTATTAAATGATACATGTTATAATCATATACATTGAATCTAACATTATTAATCACTTATAGTTAATTAAAATAAATATTTATTAGAATTGAAAGATTTATTTTTGAAGGATGGTATCATCTATTTACCCAGAGATGCAATCCAGTTCGTTGAGTGCAAATATGAGTATATATGTATAAAATCCGGCCTTCCAAGTTTCAAATTTATAATCATGTTGCGAGTTTGGAGATTTAAAATGAGTCGTAAAAGTAAAACTGATTTGAAGGTAAAGAGAAATGTATAATAAAGTCAGAATTTGCAAAAGGTAAAACCAAGCTGGAAATTACAACGAAAAAATTGTCAGTTACGACCAAATTGCGAAGTTTATTGAAGATCCTGGATAATTTCGATGCAGGTCGGATAAGGGTAAAATGAGTACTTTATCTCGTCGAACTATATCTCGTCTTACAAAAGAGATCTCACTTTATCTTGCTATGTAATTTTGATTTAAAAAAGCACAAGATGTCGTGTCCTAAATCGACAAAACAATTTCGATAGGTTTTTTGACACCCGCCAAGAAAATCGAATCAAATAAATGATATATGAAGATCGATTCTTTCTAATCTCTGTTTTCACAAACGAATGTCATGGGTCAAATAGTTGATTTGATTTGTGGGATGGGATTATAGGTTGTGAAGTGATAGGCCCTTATCGAGTTCCAGATTTTTTGAAGGTGTACATGCGTTGAGTCATAGTTCAAGAAGTTAAACGTTACCAGAAAGAGTATTATTTTTACACACAATATACATTCCATTATATTCGTTGATGAAAACTAATGAATATCAGGATAAAATAATTTTGAAAAACACTCGTTTGATGAAGCGGCCGGCTAAATGAAAAACAAAACAAAAAAACAAACTAGTGGAGCATTCTGCAGAGGAAGGTTTACAATGGCGGACGACAGTTTACAAAGAAAGATGAACTTTAAAGTAATATTCTGAACTCGCTGCAGTCTGTTTCATATGAAGAACTACAACATGATACAAAATAGATGGATGAACAACTGAAACTAGTTTAGATTAATGGAGCATATATTTCACATTAATGTTATATTAATATTTTTTTCGTCATTATAATGACACTGATTTCAGAATTTTATTAAAAAGATTTGTATTTGTAATCTTTGAGCACGTTCTGTAATTACAATTACATTGCATTACATTACACTCTAATGCTTCTTGTTGTTTCAGTAACCTGGCTAGTAATGGGAAACTTTAAAAATCCTGTTAAATCCATCGTAAGAGTGATATGTCGTCTACTACAATTCATAAATAGTATGTGAAGTATCTTGCACATTCTTTCATTCTCTTCCTTAGATTAAAAAAAATAGGCCAAACTGAAATTGATTCATAATGAGAGGCGCATATAAAAATTCTGTCAATGTGGGAATAATAAGGAAAACGATATCAACTGGTGCCGAATGATAGATTAAATATTCATGCTTGGCAGAGGTTTCTATTGGTATTTATTTTGGAATAGTCATACTTACAGTTCTTGCATTTTGATCAATTGTTAAATATTCCGACTAAATGTCTTGTCATTGGCATGTCATCAGGCTTGACATAAAACATATTGGGCAAATTGACCTGGCTGAGCACATCCATCTCCAGGTTAAACTACAGCCAATGTCTTTCAACGTGAACGCCCACCAAGGTCACGGAGACATGGCGTTGATTCCGTAGGTAGGGGGAACCCTTTGCCCTAACAGTTGACTTCAGTCTAGAAACCTACCGCCCAGCGATGCCATGTCATTACCGCGCTGGCTGTACACACACACACACACACACACACACACACACACACACACACACACACACACACACACACACACACACACACACACATATATATATATATATATATATATATATATATATATATATTATGAAGCACAGTGTACCCCGCTGTGCTAGATAGCTGTTGACTCTCCAAGAAGTTTCATTTGGCCTTTGACAGGTCTTGTTATTTCTTCCTACTCGCTGACCAGCCACTTTCCTTACCGTAAAAAGCGGTTTAGCTGTTGATGAATATATATTTACTGGATGGTGAAATAAATGCGCGAATCGAAACATTGGTATTATTTAATGTTGTTCCTATATTGCCTCGATATTTTTTCACTTGCTTTTGTTTTTGGTCAGTTTTTTTAACAGTAAGGTTCACCCTTTACAAGGCCCGGGGTTACTTTAAGGCAAGGGTCGGTAACCTACGGTCCGCGGGCCGGATCCGGCCAGCGAAGGCATTTTGACCGGCCCGCGAGCCTGATTACCAATGACTCTATTTTTAACATGGGAGACGAGGCTTTCAGATTTTTAACATGAGAGACGAGACTTTCATATTTTTATGACCCTTGGCTACATTAAAAGATAACAGAAGCGAAAGGAACGATAAAGTGAAAGAGGCCAGGGAGAGACTGGCATGCGAGGTAGCAGAAATCTAAAGACAGTTAAACATACGCGCATTATACATACATGCCTCATGAATGTGTGGATGATACCGCATGTGTACGTACGTAAGTGTATATGTTTGCAACTATTTGTACTCGTATGTATGGGTATATGTGCTTCGTTTTTGTTTGATGTGTGTGTGTGTGGTTCGTTTTTGGAACAATTTTCAATAACAGTTTCAAACCTACACGTCATAATTTCATCCATTTCACTTGGGGAAAAGTCATTTTTGTTAGGTGTTTTTTTTAATTTTAAATTTTCTTTTGTTTTTCTGATTTCTCAATGTTTATTTTCATTATGGTCTTAAATATTTAGGTTGACAGGTGTCTGCATATGTAATTTTCCTTAATTTTTCATTAATGGCCTTCGTCCGGACCGCGACCCGTCATTATAATACGATCCGGCCCGCGGGGTCGGATGAGTTGCCGACCCCTGCTTTAAGGGGTAGTTTATATCATAGGAGAGGAATATAACGGTAAATCTTAGCTTGAACAGGTCAAGATTGTAGTGATCGGAGAAACAGTCTCTTGGGTGTTGGCTCCACAGAGCAGCGGTTCGCGGAAAGAAGCTGTTCGAATGGAACTTGCTTCTAACCGATGGAATACGGAAGGAATGTGTGTGGTTTTCTACTATAATAAATGGCATGGTAGATCCAGGCTGTAAAGGTTAGACCTGACGAAACCAAGGAATGTAATTCTTTTGGGCACTTTAATTCTGATATCATACAGCCTTTTATCACTGGTGTCGTGGGTAATTAGACATAGGTTGACGTTTATAAAGTAAGTTTTGAACATGCTTTAAGATGTTTATCGTTTTAAGAAATTATTTAATAAATTAATTTAATAATTTAAAAGTAGCTTGAAAAGAAATTTAATTCTGATACGGGAGTAGAAGAAAATAATTTTGCAAAAATTTACATATTAAAAACAATTAAAATAAAGACGGGTAATTTTTAAAAAATATTTAACACTTGCACAAAATCTTCATTCTTGAACGTGGATAGACATTGTTATGCATATTATTGTATACTTATTTGACATGGAAAGAATAGTATCCTAAAGGAAAAAATAATCATTCACTGAATCATAGATTCAATTTAGTACATTAATTAAAAAAAATCTACAATAGATTTGGATTCTTTTCTTCTTTTTATTTAATAATTAAGTTTTTGATTTTAGTCAGAGTAGACGCGAGTTATGTCGCCTACTCTGAAGTTACGTTCCTGATTTATTCATAACTAGCTTAAAAGCTGTGGACATTTAAGTTAATTCCCGCGGAAGGCTAATTGGGACTCCGCCCCCAAACTAAAGGGACCTCTGGTCCAGCTTAGTAAACAGCAATGATAATTTTGAAGAAATAACTTTGAATTCCCCAATTCACTCAGTGGAACTTCAAAATCTCAATTTAATTCTAATTCGAGCCATAAGTCCAATTCCGGCCGATTTTAGCCGAAATTCCAATTCAGACCAAAAACTGAGTTCTTCAAATCACAAACTCTTCAAAACCTTACGTCCCGAAACCTCTCATTTTAACTCTGGTTCCTTGGCATTTTGAAAAAATAAAATTGACTTCCTCAATTCAAAAAGTTTTGGAGATATTTTGAACTGAATTTAAAACAAAAAATTAAATTCACAAAGTTTTTGTGTTACTTTAAACTCAATATAAATTAAAAAGTTTTAAAATCATTAATCATAAATCATTAATTTTTTTCAGTTATTTTAAAATTTGAATGTTGTATATTCAGGCACCAGATGAAGGGCAGATTTTCAATCCCCGGATCATCCTGATTCCCAAAAATTTATAATGTATCTATGTCGAGCAAGTGTGGCCCGAGTTAGAGGGGTTTCAGACACATGGACGAACAGACAGAATTTGCCATTTACTTATTTAGAGGTATAAAATAATCTGTAGATTATAGATTCTAAAGCATCTAGTTTTAGACTCGTGTCATGATTTGTTGTTATCAACAGAAATTTAATTAGATAAATATCTTTTATCATTGGGTCTTGTAAATCTAAGTATATCCTCCTATACATATTTTTCTTTCAGATGGTTTCTTCGACATTGTCTTTGTTTGAAGTTGGGACACAATGCAGCGATGCGTAAAAATATTTTTTCATTGATAAAGACTGAAAAATATATTATTTCAAATATTATTTCAAATATTCAAAATGTTCCATGAGACTTAATTAAGAATTTCATATTAACTCTTTTCCGGTTTCTTCAGGTTTAAATCTTCAAAAATGTAAATGCAATGTCAATCACTATCTTCTTAATTCCTGTTCTTTTATTTTCCTCTCTCCTTAATGTTTTTTTCGCATATTCTTTCACACTCAGTAACCTCTTGTGTTTTAGTGGCTTTATTGTCTTGCTTAGAATGAAATGATTAAAAACAAACTGTTTTATGCTTAACTCTGCTTCCTCGCAACAGTCATACGACGCTATGAAATATTCATTGTATAAAGTTCAATTCATCTGATGAATATTCACCATTGTACTAAGTGCATTGACAAGGAAAAAGAATATACTAAAATAAATATTTCATACAAAACAAATAACCTTTTTTCATCATTAGACTATGAATAATGTTATGTACGGGCATAGTATGAAAATTCAATAATTTATGTGGCACAAAATTTACTTTCATAGCACAGAACAACTATAGACATTTCCAATTTTATTACTTAAACGTTATTTTTAATGGGTATCCAGATTTGCGTTAATAAATCACTATTCAAGTTTGCTTGATCATCGATGTACTCCATAGGCGAGACGGTCTAAAGCAAGTCGAATCTAAAGACGGTTACTCTTGCCAGATTTCGAATCCTACCGGAGATCGCATATGTTTCTTTAATAAGATTTCTCGAATATTCAGGTTGGTAAATGAAAATAAATAAATATACTCTTTAATAAATAAATAACGTTTTAAGTAATAAAATCTGTCAGATTGATAAATTAAAAATCCATCACTTCTTTAGAAATTTCCAATTATATTTTAAATGAATAACCACACGCTTCGTACAAACATTTTATTGTTGTTTTGATCTGCTATTTTTATTGATAACGATTATAATTGTTTTTTTTTGTCAACATTTTTCTCGAGTTTTGTTGTGTTGACTTATAAACCAAAGCTAATAAAATATTGTTAGCTACTCAGACATGATACTATGAGTTTGACAAAATTAATCTCCAATAGTTAAAAAATGATACGTTGGTAATAAATCGTATGATATGATCTGCAAATTTGTTCTGAGTTTCACTTTCACAACTTGTCTCTGTAACAAATCCTAAATTTGAGAAGCGTAGATCATGGAAGTGGGGCCAATGGTAAGGATAATGAGATTAACCGTTTTCATACAGGAAAATTCCACATTCATTGACCAAACTGTTAGCCGTACTTCTCAAATCCAATAACTGTCACCACATTTTCTGTTATTAATGGAAGTTCCCTGACTAACCTTTTGTTTAAAGTAGTGTGGAAAATCAACATCTTGAGTATATCATTATTTTTCGCTCTTGTTACATAAAACTACCCGCTTTAATTGTTGTGGCTCTTGAAAGTTTTCAATTTATGTGGTTTTTGATGGTCAACTGCTGCTTATGATTTAGTAGTGCTAGTCTATGAAAAAAATTGTTTTTTGCAGGACCGCGAGGGTTGATTCACTTGAAGCCATTTTTAATCATTAATCTGAGAAAACGGTTGTATATAGGTAAAGGTTTAGACGTCGTTGAAGGCCATACATGACATCAATATGAGAGTCAAGAACTAACGCAGATATTTAAGTATATGACAATGGAGGAATCTTTTAAGATAAACGAAAAATAATTGTCAGAATGAATTCTGTTACTCTTTAGTAAATTTCAATTAATAGGCATAACATAGAATTCGTCATCAAAGATTGTCTGTTTAGTGAATAAAGTAACTTTGTTAATATTCTGAAGATGAGAAAAATATCGAAATTAAAACAAAATGAACCCCACCTCTTATCTGTGAACAGTGGCGAACCTACTAATTAAGATTATGCTTCAGGGTGCCTAATTCCAGAAGGGCCCCTGAAGCAACTCTTTTTAATGAGGGAATTTTTCAACAAAATCGATGTTTGTTTTTAAGAGTTTGTTATTAAAACACTGTCATTTTAATGACAATCATAAATCATTGGGTTGATGTAGCTAATATTAACCTTTGAATATGCTCCAATACCCGTTTCATATGTTTTCAAAACTCCTGTAATTGGTGAAATTTAAAAGAAAATTGTTGAACAACATCTGAACCCCAACTTTATAGGCTCATTCAGTTCGCCAGAATCTATTCATAGCCTGCATTTTGGTAGTTGGTTCCTCGAATCTATTGTTATTGGTTGCAAAGGGGCTCCCCATATCTGTTCAAGCTTCAAGTCACTAAAAATATAGGTTCGCCACTGCTTGAGAACATATTTTTCGGGGTTACTTTTATAATCTATGCTTTAAAATTGGATATTTTAAAGAAAATGCACAATTTGAAGCATTCAGTCATTAATATTAAAAAGAAAAAAGAAGAAGCGAAAAACAGCCTGGCTTGGGCAATAGCACCTAAATTAACCGCTTCGAAGGGTTCATACTTTTATCCTACTATTCCTTCTAATTTTCTTTCGAGATCAGTTGTTTTGTTGCTTTTTTCTTCTTCTTTTTCTTCTTCTTTGTGTCGTGCCCCTTCAGGACGTTGAGCGATCATAGTTTCCCACAATTTCCTGTCTTTTGTAGCTCTTAGTAATGTTTGTCTTTTTGCTATCTCTCCTAATCCCTGTTCTGTCAACGATTTACAAAAACTTTTTAGGTAGGTTATTCGAGACTTTCCTCTCTCCCTATTACCTTCAACATGTCTTGTGAGTTTTAAATTTTCCAAACCCTCTTGCGTCCTTTTTATTCCCACTTTTTTTTTAAAACTTCGTTCTTTTTCATCTGATCAGTTCATGGTATTCTCAGCAACCTTCTGTAGAAACAAACTATTCAAATGCCTCAAATCACTTCTTCATCTGTGTGGAGATTATCCAGCATTTGTTGTCATATACGAGGACTGATATTCAATACATTTTTTTGTTTTGAACAAAGTTTTACTGTTTGTTAATTGCTTAAATTTTGAAAGATATCTTTCGCTATTCCAATGCATCTTCGAATTTCCGTATCGCATTTTCCGTTCCAAATGAGTTTGAAATCTGTATTTCAATGTTGATTAAAAGTTTGGAAAAAGTCAAGAGTTTTTGCACACCGTTAGTTTTTCTATTTTATGCAAAACTAACATACGTCGAAATCGAAATTTCAAATTTTTAGCATATGCGAATATTTGTTATATTAAAGAATTCCCTTTTTGAGGCATTTCTTTAAGCACTATCAGGAATTAATCGCAGAATACTGCACCGTATATTAATCTTCATCCGTAAAGTAGTACATAGATTTTAATCATTCGGATTCTTCTAGCATCTTTCCTTTCAGTTCTAACAAACAACCACAGAAATGAATCAAACTGTAACATACGATGTTCGCTTTGTTTTATGAAGTAAAAACAAAAGATATTTTTAAAATTTTCTACATTAACTTCATTGAACAACATTGATGACGTTTTGTTTCAATATCGTCTGTTTTATTCAATGCAACTTCATAATTTAATTCTAGCAGAATGCTTTATCTTTCGGATCAAAGAATTACTAAAGGCGATTTTGTAGTTTTCTATGAAACTGATTTTTTTTCGTTAAGTAAGCGGTAAGCAGTAAACCAAGGAGGTAATATCAGCTGAATATGGGGGATGTCAAAACTTTTCAATCAAGCTTCAATAAGTTTTGCATTTTGATCAAAAACATGTCGAGCTGATGGGATATTAAACACTTTTTGTCACATTATTCTGAACACGGACGCGCGCGCGCACACACACACACACAAACACAGAAACACACAAAGGCACACAAACATACGCACACACACACACACACACATATATATATATATATATAATCGTCGGAAGATCGCGTATGTGTGAAACTCGAGTCACGACTAGAGCCGCCCTTCCGTAGAATTTAACGTTGGTAAGCGTTTTTTGCTTTACTGAGTAGGTAAGTTTGCTTTCAGGCCTTTTTTCTCTTTCTTTTTTTTAGTATTATCGTTTTTATTCGAAACTGTATCTGTATAAGAGTTTAGGTCTTGGGGAGTTGTCCGTTGGTCCCACCAACGGTTTTTTTTTTTATATATATATATATATATATATATATATATATATATATATATATATATATATATATTATATATATATATATATATATATATATATATATATATATATATATATATAGGTAACTATACTCGTTTCAAAAACCTTCGAATTTTTGATTTGCCAATAATCACTAGGTTTATTTATCTATCTATCTATCTATCTATCTATCTATCTATCTATCTATCTATCTCATTGTTCATTCCCTTCTGGACACATTTTCTTTACTTTTATTTCTCGAATGCGCAGGCCGATAGACGTATTACACACTAACTAATAAATGAAAATGGAGCGTCTATTTCAAATAAGATGTATCCATTATAATAACGCTTGAAGTAATAAAAAATGTCAGATTAAAATAAGTTCATTAATTCATTATATATATATATATATATATATATATATATATATATATATATATATATATATATATATATATATATATATACACGTGCTGGATAATCTAGATTATTCAGTAGAATATTAATACAGGAATTATTCTTTCACTGTTTTGTCCAGGGCTCGAGCCGCTCAACATTTGCGTTTATTAGAAGCGGTCTATATAAATTTACATCAACTGTCTCTGTGCAGACAGAAAGAGCATTTTGTTCGCCCTCTCTGTCTTTTACGAGGTATGTGAGTAATTTTTTCCGTTTTATACTCACCTGGAACCATTTATATTAGCCTATTCCTCGTATATTAACCTTTTTTTTCTTTTCCGCCATCGTTTTATTAATAAATTTGTATTTTAGTGGTGCTTCCTTTTCTTATATTTTCTCGCAGTGCGAATTGTGTATACTTTGTAAATCAACATTACGGACGTATTCTTCTCATGATGTGTTGGTCGAAAGGGATCTCTAAAGAAAGAATGCTTTCCCGCATTTTTAAATCTGTGTATATGTTCTGTGGCATCAAATTTCTGTATATATATATATATATATATATATATATATATATATATATATATATATATATATTCAAGCATGTTCGATTAAATAATGTTGACATATGTCTATATATTTTTATAATAATCCTTTCTAGTTCTCTAATTATCTTCTTAATGCTAAGTTGAAATTTATCAAGGCACCGTATTATTATGAGTATAGTAAAAATGTTTTAAAATTAATTTAAGTCGACTAACATTTAACACCATTTGAAATTTGCCAATTTGTAGTTTTACCATCTCCGGTTATCGTCCTTTGATTAGGAACGCTTGTTTACAAAACATTTTAATATAATTATAGGGGAGCGCGTTAGCGCGTTTGCAAAATTACTATAACAACGATTACACTCATATTAAATTTGTCTTTTCAATTCACCCCTGAGGATGATCTTGGAGGTGATCGAAAGTAATTGGGTTAGCCAAAAAAAAAAAAAAAAAAATACACCCCCTCAAAAAACGGCGTTTTCCTTGATGAATTTCAACTTAACATCAAGTAAATAATTAGAGAACTAGAAATGATTATTATAAATGTTGAATAAAGATATGCTGCCTATATATATATATATATATATATATATATATATATGTTGCTCTAAAATGGTTTTGTTGCCTCTAGTACATTACTTTCGTTTCTACATTTCCAATACTACTTCAGCTCAAATTTTGGTGGTTCTGACATAAATTTGAAAAAAAAAAGAAGATAAAAAAAAAATAAATAACGACGTCACACATTTATAGGCTTGAAAAATGTGAGTTCATGTTTGGAAAACTCAAAACTCACGCGCGAACACATATAAACAGATACACAAACATTCACGCACAAACACACATATACGCGGTCCATTTCCTACCCTAATATCTACAGCCTAACCCATTTTCCCATTGCGGTTATAGATCTGAGAGTCTTGTATCAACATTCGGTGTCTCTCTCGTCTTTTACTTGAGGTCAGGTTAGGCACTTGAACTTCCGTGCCCTGCCCGCACCAAACACATCCTAACTCTCACTCACCACGAGTGGGTGGTTATCTTTATTCCGTGCCTGGCCAACCCTTCTTTGCCTGACAAGATTTCTCCAATCCTTAGATGTATAATCCATATTCACCCCGTCAGTTTAAAGCATCAATATTTCGTTTTTTTCCTACTTACTTTTTTTCTAGCCCAACCTTACATGTCACTAAATTTTTCCGCCATTCTTTGGTCTGAACGTTTCTTCAAAAAATATTCTTTTTCCTCAAAGAAACTTCGATCTTTTCAATGGTTTTCTTCATGCATTGTTCTTTCTCAAACGTGTATCCCTACAGTAAGTGAGCAACATCAGGCTTTATTCTTCTGAATTTTGTCTATACATTCATTTTTAGTAACATCTTACGCACCTAGTGCATTAATACTTTATATTGGTGAACTTTAATCAAGTTAGTCAGTGCTACTAGTGTTATTATCTGGTTGGAAAAAGTTTCACGGTTTGTAGAACATTAAATTTATTTAGAAACCGGGAGAATTTTTCTTCCATCTGGATGAACAGAAATAAATAAAAAGGATTCCAACGCATTTTAGATTTGGCTCACGTTCAAGACATCTGTTCCGTCCGATCGCCGAAGTCTAGCTTGGTAGGTACTCAGATGGCTGATAGTTGGGAAATACCAAGTGCTGTAAGTTTCGCGATAGGCCTAGCAAGCTGGTGATAGATAGAATCTCGCTATTTAGACAAACAGCAGACCTCTATATGTGGAAGTGCATTTGGACTGACAGATTTCAAGACTTACCTGGAGTTGAGTGGTCAGTGTAGATTTGAAACTTAATGCAGTACTTACACTATTTACATTGTTTGGACTGTTGTCCTCATCTTTATTGTCATATTCACGACGTTTTAGACGTTGCACGCTTTGGCCTTCTTCTGAGATAAGGTATTGTAATTATTCCACGTGAAACTAGAACAATCTACTCCAGTAGAGTAAATAAAGGATTCGGTTCGAAATTCCAACGTATATCACCTGAAGAAGATGGTAGGTCTCGGCCAGTTTTAATTCTTTGTTTAATTTCTGATGGACATCTCGACTTTAACTAAGTTAAAACTTCGTAACTTTTAAAAAAAATAGGAGTAGGTAGGCATTCCTATCGCCCAGTCCATACTTCTCCCCCTTCTCTTGAACAGAAATAGAGGCACATCCCTTGATTCCTCTTTAGGAAGGGGTTCCCGGTTCCTTTACTTTTCTCAGGCCTTAGCAGTGGTGGTGTTGTGAAGTTTTTGTGATATGTACAGATGGTAGCAACGTCTCTTAATACTGAGGGTATCGGGTTGGCAGTTTTCTGGTTGCTGTTTCCGAATGGTAGTTAAGAACCCGAACTCTTAAGTAACGTCTTGAGAGGCTGTTCTGATCAACACTTGCGTAATATCGGGGTTCTTTCAGTGCTATGTCACGCATGGAAGGGTGTCCTTGCAAGGTCCCCGAGGCCACACTACGTTGCAGTCTGCGTCAGTTCCCTTCCTGTACATGTTACATTAGATGACCGACTGCTGCTATTACCCTAGGCCTATTCCTTACTAAAATAGCACATAAGTATAAGCAAACAAAGATATAAAACTAAACCAGTTCAACAAAAAACATCTAAACCCCTCAATCTTTCTCCAACATTCGTGGTATTCGTACCAACTTCTGTAGTGTGGAAACGTTTCTCTTCAAAAAGTCATCCTAGCTCTTTGCGAATCTAATCCTAACTCTTCAATCCTCTCCTTTGATTTGTCGATTCCTGGCTCATTTTCACGTGCATGGCCTGGGAGTTTACGTCCGTGAACATATCCTGTTGACCAGGGAACTATTTCTTCAATTGCCAGACCATTCTTATATGTGTCTCCGTCTCTCTCTACTTAACTCTGTCAGTTATCTCTTCTTTCTCTACCGTTCTCCTTCCACTCATGACTGTTACGTGCTAGATAGTATTTCTGATAATATAGACAAGACAATCTCCCTACATCAGTTTGCAAATATATTTATGTTCGGTGACTTTAATAACCACCATGCCAAGGTGGATTAAACACTCTGTCACTGACCCTCCCAAGCATCCAAACCCATAACTTCTCAATCACGCAATCTCTCACGCAAGTGGCTGACTTCCTCACGATTTTCCCCAGTAACCCTGACGAACACGCTTCTCTTTTAGATCTCTTTTTACCTCTATCCCTGTCTCTATGCTGCTCTGCCCTCTTGGCAACTCTAATCATGCGGTAATGTCTGTTAATATCTCTTTTTGCTCTCCCATCAGCCAAGAGCCACCTACCAACAGAATGAAACAACATATAGCATCTCGGTTCTAGAGGTTATTAACGGCTCTACAAGAATGTGCTGAACAACATCAAATTTTCAATTTCTCCTCTATTCAATCAATTTGAAGTTTTGACATCAGCAGATAAGGTTGAATAACTTTCTCGGAAATTCTCTTCCAGCTCAACCGTCCAATCATTTAGTGTACCCACACCTGATTTCCACACTAGAACTGGGTGATATGCGGATATCATTTCTAAATTAGACTCTCATAAGGCAAGCGGGGGTAACGGGATCACAGCCGTCATCCGAAAAAATGTGCTGGCAAGTTGGCTCATGTTATCTTCAAAGTCTACAACTATTACTTCGAGGTTTCCTGCTTTCCAGCTTGTTGAAAGTCCTCCTCTGTAGTTCCTGTTGTTAAGAACTCTGGAGACCCTTCTGACCCCTCTAACTGTCACCCTATTAGTCTCCTACCACCTTTCAGCAAAGTATTCGAGGCTTTAATCAATGCTGAAATGGTTAAGCATCTTCGCTCTCACGACCTACTCTCTGACAAACAATATGGCTTCTGTTTTGCCAGCTCTACCGCTGACGTGCATCCGACCATCACTGTTCCTGTCAAATCATGAAATGAAGGTTATTTTAAACGGGCCCGCTTCTAGAACCTCTCAGACGAACGCGGGTATCCCCCAAGGCTCTTTCCTGGGACTTACGCCTGATTGTACGCTTCATCAATGATCTTCTTCATGTCACCAGTTCCCAAGTGGGCATTTATGCAGATGACATTACCATTTACTGTGTCTCAGTAGCAAATTCGTCAGATCTGACAAAGTTAATCTGGCTGCTACTCTTGAAAAGGAGTTCCAATCAGTGAACTGGGGCAGAAAATGTCTTCTAAATTTTAATACATCCAAAACGAAACTGCTCTCTTTTAACCAACATAGAAAAATTTTCCTGCTCGCCATCAGCATATCTGATACTAGACTCCTGGGGAGCGATACCTTGCGCCTCCTTGGCCGTACGTTTTCAATTGACGAAGTGGAACGACTACATTGAACCAATAGCTGTATCTACTGCAAGGAAAGTTGGGTCACTGTGTCGTGCCAGAAGGTTTTTCAGAGTCCATCGTGCACATTAACAAATTTACGATTCGTCCGTGAATTAAATACTGTTTCCATATCTGGTCAGGTGCTCCAGCTATTCATCTTGAGGTTCATGATAAAAACCAAAGAAGTATCTGAAATGTAATCGATCCTGACTTGACATTTCGACTTCAGTCACTTTCTCACAGACGTGATGTGACTTCCATCTGTCTTTTCTACAAATATTTTTATGGCATCTGAAACGAAGAAAATAATGCAAATCGAAATAAGTTTTTTGAAGTGTGTTATTGATAACAGATACAAACTTGTGAAGCGTGCAGTTGCAATGCTAAGGTTGAATTTTTGAAAATTTAAGTGAGAGCATTTTTTACGAAGATGAAAATTTAAGAATTGTTGTAGGAGTTTATCAGTCAACGTGCCATGAACTAAGTAGTTAAATAACTAGAGCAATGTCTCAGTTGTTATCCCGAAAGTTTACACATCGGATCAATTCTTTTAAATCAAGTTAATATAATATATATACACACCCTTGTGCAAATTAATTGAAACAGCCGCTTCAGTTTCCTTTCTTTCACCATACCGTCAGTTTTAGACCCACTAGAGTGACAGGGTGTAGTTGATTTCTATTTTTCTCTGATTAGGTCATTTGCAGTGGTGTGCAGTAATATGAATCTATTTTCAGGGTGTATGATGTTTGGCCTTGAAAAACATTACGTCATCCCTGATTGCATCAGATATTTATCACGCTCAGACACTATTGTCTCGACTGTCAATTAGTTGTCCTACGGCCATTGTCTGCTATGGAAGTTGCTCCAAGGAAGCGTACGAAGATTGTAGCACTGCATTAACCAACTGGCAAGCCTTACCAGTGAGCAAATCAAAGTACTATAGACTGCCTCGGAAACTCTCCTGATTTAAATTAAAATAGAAAATTTGTGGTCAGTCTGCAAGGAACGTCTTCGTGGAATGGACATATGAAATACTAACATGTGAACTGAATCTTGTTTCATTAGAAAAATACTAAAAACAAGTAAGTAATAACGGAATTATTCGTTTTTTTCCATTAATTTGCACAAGGGTATATATATATATATATATATATATATATATATATATTGAGAAAGAAAGAAAGAGACAGAGAGGTGGAGGGAAAGAAAGAAAAACAGAAAGATATTGAGATGATAGATATACTTATTGTGACCCAATATTTTCTGAAATTTTATGATCAACCTATTCATTTTCTGAAAGCTTCTAATTTAACAATTCATTTTCTAACATTTTTCCCTTGAGGGAGATATTTAGTCCCATACGTCGAACGACTTTTGAGATCACACTTTGAATGTAATTTTAAAGGGAAAGAGATTAAGTCATGACCCAGCAGAGGCATAAGCTGTAAAATCCTCACCCATTAAGTAAACACACCAGAAGAAAAAAAAAGCCTGCATAAACTCTGGCAAAAACAAACAAACGAACTATTGATATGAAAATACCCCCTCTAAAAAGCAACAAAACAAAAAAACAAAACAAAAAAAACAAAAAGCAAAAAGGGAAGCGCAATCATTCACATAGACCCATTTATTAGGATATTCCCTCAATGCCGCCATACTTGTAAAAAGATGATTCATCAAAAAATGTGAAAATGAAAGTAAGTCTGAGAAAATTGTGTTGAAGGGAATTTTAAAAATATTTTGTCATTCGTTCAACCTAATGTACCCACAGGCATACTTACATGGGCATACACATACATTCATACACATACGTACGCGCACATGCACGCGCGCCGACATGGTACACATATTTTAAAATAGAGACCTGATTGTAATTTATACAAGGAAATATGTACTTGTATAAAACGCAATCATCAGGCCCGATGATTGCGTTTAGCATGAAACAGTCAGTCGCCTCTGAGTGTTGACTTAATAAATATATATATATATATATATATATATATATATATATATATATAT